CTTTAGCAGCATTCCGAGCTTTATCAGCTCTTGTTTCTGCTTCTTGAAGCTGTGCACATTCTTTATTAGTCGAGTAATGACCTTTGATTGCGATGGCGTACCTGGTCACGGAGCTGCGACTGCTGTGTCTGAACTATTGTGAGCAGGGCGTCGAGGTTTTCCAAATCGCTCAATGTCTGGAATTTATCATTTAGATAGTCCTCAACAGGGCTATCTTTTCCCCGGGAATCCACTGGTGTTCCGTCGAGATTGCCGGACATTTTTGCTATGATTGTAGGCTTGAAGTGTTGTAGCTGTTGTTGGTGTCCTTAAGTTATATGCAGTAGATTCTTAGTCATAGTTGAGTCATCGTGCTGCACAGCTGTGTAACTAATTCCTGGAGTAGGACATACAGTACCGTAATATGTAACACTTTAAGTAGGTATATATTAAAATATATTTTAATATTATCAAGACCTAAGAGGTTTCAATGATGATTGATGAGCATAAGCAAATGAGGCCGGTCAGAGTGTTATATGTACCACATGCATACAAATATTTCGGGGATCTTAATCTTTGTGAAGTGTACTAGCAATGCCGACTGGAATTTCGGTCACGTGGGGATACATCTAGAGAGTGGCAAAGGCATGCCAGTTTCTACTCTCACCTACGCATTATTTAACCTACACGTGACCGAAATTCCAGCCGGCATCGTTAATAGTTAAATCAAAAATAAGGGACAGGTGCTAACATCGAGATCGACAGCAGCTGAAATTCAAGCGCTGAGATACAAACCTACTATGACGTAGCAGCTGCAGTAAACTAAGTCCCTCCTCATCCTGTCTATGTATATACTGTAAGTAAACAGTTTAACCAAGTACTCCACAGTACATTGACATACTCTAGCTGAGCTTGAGCTATAAGGTATTGGTGTCAATATTCAACGCATACCCTTCGGAATAAGAGGTGAAATGACCCACAGAATTGTCGACATCACCAGTAATTCAACACTACTTCATCGATTCTGATTCGGCACTTCACTGACTTAGATTGTACTTCATGGAGTCTGACTTGGTACTTTCTAGCATGATTTAGCTCTGATGATCGAGTATGATTCGTTTAGAAATTAGAAGTACATGTGTACCTGGGGCCTGGCCAGCTTACTGGCAACTACATGTACCTACATGTATCTAGTACTCTAGCTCAGGGTGGTTGCATGTAGATACATACTTATCCTAGATTGGTAAGTGTCTGAGATTAGATAAGATATTTCTCACGTAACCTACATGTCCCGGACAACCTCCCCAGGCGTTGTCAACAACGACGGACTATTCGCGATAATGGTTCCCACCTCTGGCACTGTCGATACGGGTCACATCAAAGCTGCGGCTCAGAAGGATCTTTTAGACCTTCTTTTGGGCGTAAGTTAATGACTTGTCTCTCACTTCCTGTCGCTAATAGTCGCCCTAGGTGCGTGGGAAAAAGGTTCTGGTTCTCGACAAGTCGCTCAGCGGCCCTCTCGGTCTCTTTCTAAAGTTTTCGGCCCTTCAAGTGCGCTTAATCAATCTTTTCATCGCCTGTAAAAGGTATTTGTGATAGTAATGGGATATCGTTTTAGGAACATGGTGTCGACAAAATATTCTGGATTGATGACGGCGTGATCGAAGCTACACAAAAGAACATAGTGTTTCTAGTACGGTGCACAGTCAAGAATGCATATGCGATAGCAGGTGTGTAGGGCTTCTTACCAATTTCATTATGGAGTCCCATAGACTTTTTCCACGGGCCAAAAGTAGGCTGTGCGGAGCTTTATGTCTACTCCACACAGCCAGTCTTGCGCCCAATATAGACATAACTCCAGCTTTCTCAATAGCATAAAATGTTGCAGTTGGGAAATTTCATCACCATCAGTAGCAGAAGGCTAGATAAGCTGACATTTTGTACTTCATAGCTCACGTCAAAAAAAATGCCAAAATCCCTGGTCAAGAATTCGAGTATAATGTCCTATTCGTTCCCCGACGGACACTTGTATGCGAAAAGATTCTTGAGGATGAGGGTGTACTAGGCGATGTAACACTTGGCGAATTCCCTCTTCATTTTCTCGCATTGGAGCCCGATCTCCTTTCTTTGGAGCTTGAGGATTCCTTTGAAGAACTGTACCTTGTATGTTCTCATAATTCCGTGTCATCTCAAATGGTGCAATACTTTCCCTATCAGCTATTCTTACGATTTTATAGCGCAAGGATTATACGTCCATATTTTACTCGGCCCGTGCACTGATGGGCATTCAACGTCGGTACGGGCTATTCCCACGCATAATAGGGAAAGGTGACTGCGCAAAACGCCTAGCAGACGCCTTAATTCGTATGCGAGGCGAAGAGGATGCGTCTGATACCAATCTTTTTGCCCTAACCCCAAGCAGCATACTTGGGGAATTGATAGTGGTGGACAGGGAGTCAGACATGGTGACCCCACTATTAACGCAGCTCACTTATGAAGGATTGATTGACGAGACAATCGGGATCCACAATTGTAAACCGACCCTCCCTCGTCCTTGAGAGGCAAGATTGGTTGTTAACGGAATAAACAGCAAAGATAGAGTTGGATGCCGCCCTTGTAGGGCCTCCGCAGCAGCAGCAAGGCGCTGCCACATCTTCATCGTCGTCATCTGCTGCAGCTCCTGCATCATCTTCCAAACAGAAGAGACCAGTTCTTTTAAGCTCGGAGGATAAACTGTTTGAGAACTTACGGGACACTAATTTTGCAATTGTGGGGAATTTACTTAATAAGGTAGCTAGAAGGCTAAACGACGACTATGAAGGTCGTCATCAAGCAAAAACAGTCTCAGAGATTCGTGATTTTGTGAGCAAACTTGGCGGCCTACAACAAGAGCACCAATCACTAAGGTTGCATACGGGTCTAGCCGAGGAAATAATGAAGCATACCCGCTCCGACATCTTTAATAAGATTCTCGAAGTTCAGCAAAGTAAGCTCTCTCGATTATTTATGTCCCTACTCCAACCAGTTCTAGGACATTGGAGATGATATATCATTAAAAATGCTTTATAGTAGAGCTCTAACCTTGATTGATTATAGACCTTGCAGCGGGCGTCGACCCGTCTAGTCAACATGACGCCATAGAAGAATTAATTTCACGGAATGCCCCAGTAGAAGCCATTTTGCGCCTTCTGTGTATCGAATCCCTTATTAGCCAAGGGCTGAAGCCAAAGGATCTTGAAAATTTCAAAAGAGAGATTCTTCATGCATACGGATATAACCATGTATTGACCCTCGACGCACTCGAGAAGCTCCAACTTCTCCAGTCTCGTACAACACTTGCCGCATCAGGCGTTGTAAGAACGAACTACACAAATCTTCGAAAGACGTTGAAGTTGATTGTGGACGAAGTGAACGAGCATAACCCCGACGACATATCATATGTCTACTCTGGTTATGCACCATTGAGCATCCGATTAATCCAATGTATCATTCAAAAGCCGCTCATGACCGCCACTGCAAAAGGGGCAAATGGGGGTGTAAATACTGGCGCGGCGGGTTGGAAAGGATTTGAAGACGTTCTCAAGAGCATCAAGGGAAAAACATTCGACGAGTTTCAGAGGGGAGAAGATAAAGCCGTTAGGGCGAGGAATATATTAAACGGACAGGCCGAGAAGAAGGTTACCGTCGTTTTCTTCGTTGGGGGCTGCACTTTTACGGAGATTGCAGCGTTGAGGTTTATTGCCAAGCGTGAAGAAGGTGCGTTGCTCACTTACGCTACATACCCAAACTTTGTCTTTATACTAACTATTTATGTAGATCGACGACAAATCCTCATTGGCACAACTGCTATTATTAATGGTAATAGGATGATGCGAGCGGCAATTGCATAATTGGGGGAATTCATAGTTCACATTTTCTACTTTGTTTTTAGCAGCGTTTCTTTTGAGTGTCACCATTTTATGAACTTTATGAAGCATCAGCGTTTTTTATAGGGCGATAATCGGAAGAATCTATCGATTCATACTAGAACTTAATGAATCTCCCAATATTTTTTCCCTAAAGCATGTAGACCTTTCAGTGGACCAAGCCGGAAGAGTTTTAAATCCGGCCCGGACCATTTGATCTCTCGTAATTTTCCAGTATAGATATTGAAAGGTCGACAAAATACCTAAAATGACGGACCCCACCTACTTTGTAGACCATGGTGGATTATATGAAGGTTTGGGGGTACTATTTGTAGTATCATGGAACATCACTCGATTTCCTATCCACCCCGTACAATCAGACAGGACAGATTAATTATACACGAAATCACCGTATATTGGTGGAAGACCAGGCGTCACTGTGTTTCAGGCCGTCCAATCACTTATACCTCCATACTAATTCATCCCCCGACAAATCTTCTAGAAGATAGTATAGTAGCGTACGTACATGTATGTAGACACATGATGTCGATCGAGTTAGAAATTACTTACACCAGTATCCTGGGCGTATACAGTACTGGGTAGCTATTCCTTGGGTCAATGTACTACATCCAATCACAAGCCCATTAAAATTGTATTTGTATCTCGATGTAAATCCTATATCTCACACTCTTTGCAAGGATGCACGTGGCTGGTGTTAGTCCCAGTGGTACATGGTCCGCTCTGCAAAAATATTGGTTGTGTATAGCGGGCATATATAAGTACATGGGCCCCGGCCGCGTCTGTGTCGATGTCTTTTTGGTCGAGTGATAATCCATGAACACACATCAGCTACATACCCAACGCTAGGCCAGTGATTCCACCGCAAATCAAGCTAATCAACTATAATACTATTCTCAAAGCCATCATACTCTCTTACTAACCAGAGAATTTATTCACGTTATTATAATTAGGATATCTATGTATAATGGATTAAACAACAGTGTGTGATATTAGTCTATCATCGGCCTTGACAGTTCTTGCGTCAACCATCTGATTGCGATGTCAGGCCAGGTCAATTTGACCTCCTTCGCCCTTCCCACCGGAAGTATCTCCCCTTTATTCTTCATTCTCAACCTGTTTCAGAATCAGCGCGCCCTCCCAACTCTTCATCACCTCATATATCTCACGCAAAGTCGGTCTATCCGCCTTTGTCTGCAACGCCTTCCTCACAATCTTCAGCACCGCCACCGGAACACTCTGCCTCGCCTTCTTCCACAACGTATTCCCAACGGGGAACCAGTCATTTCCCATGCCCGACAGGCACGGCACATCCTCAAAGATGCACCACAGGCAGCAGCCCAGCATCCAGGCCATTGCCGCACTACACTCCGCGTCCGAAGCGTCTCCCCAGAACGGGATCTTCTTGTGGTCTGACGGCCCTGTGTACTGGGCGTCTGAGTTCGGCTTTGACGGGCTGATTATGCTTGTCCGCGAGAGCTTATAGTCGAGCACCTTTTGATGAGCTGCGTGCCTCTCTTGCCCCGTCATGTCTTTAGCGACAGAGCACGGGTGCGGGCTACACACTCTGCACTTCTCGCCCAGCCCTGGGGTTGTCCCAGAGTCGCTTGACCCACTCATGAATCGTGAAATCCTCCCTTTTCCCCGGACCATCATGACCTCGATAGGCGTGTATTGGACCCACGTCCCCGCCAACTCAAAGTCAATCAGCCTCAGATTCCCCGCGGCGTCCAGAACAATGTTGTCCATTTTGAGTGCGCTGTATCTGCCACATTTCCCGTCGCTGCCACCACTGTACTCATATATATGCAGCAGGGCAGACGTTAGCTGCAGCGCCCACCTAGCCTTCTGCTTCAGCGTGATCTCGTAGTTTTTGACATAGTTCTTCAGGCTGCCCCCCGAGTAATATGGTGTTAGAAAGCCAATCACAGGCTCTGTAGGCTCAAGACAGTACAATGACGCTGGATCCAGCGGATGCTGGACTGAGTGTGCTGTCTGCTTAGTGATAAGGTAACAAGGGCGCTCAAGGATATTTGGGTGTGGCGGCATACTGAGGAGCGTATGCAGCTCCTGATACAAACCCTGCGGGGACTGGTTCGTCTTGAACGCATACAGCGTGCTATCGTCATGCCCATTTATCGACACCAGAACAACGGTATCATGGAGCCACGCCCTGACCTGGAGCTTCGTCAACGGTATCACAGCCGGCATGCCAATTCCCGTCTCCAGCTCCTTCCTGCAGTCCTCCCTGCCAAACCCCCACAGGTTCCTCAAAACCACTACAGAGCGGGTGCTGTCCTCGAATTTGGACCCCCAGTATATATCAGACTCCACGCCCTTACCATTGCCGTCCTCCTCCCTCGACCACCGGATGCCGATGTGGGAGTCGTTGAAGGGGATAGTTCTGTATTCCTGCTCGAACGGGTAGTCCTTATCCTGTGAGATGTTTGTGAGCAGCTTGAGGAGCCGCCGGTAGTATTTGGATTTGGTGTGGAGGGAGTTGCGGATGAAGCCGTCTGGGATGGCGTCGATTCCAATGTGAACGAGGATGTCGCCCTGTATGAATATGGACACGAAGAGGGGATATGTGATGAAGTGGGGCTGGGCGTAGATGTTGGGCCCGCTGCGGCCGTAGATTGTCCATTGGCCGTTTGTGGGGTATTCGACCTCTATGGGGGGGAGGTTTATGGGGATTATGGTGCCCATGATTTAATGAGATACTAGCTAGGTTCTGATTTTGGATCGAGGAGGACGAGCAGGTTGTGGTATGAATTGGAAGGAGAAAAAAGCTTAGAGGATGTTGAAGAAGTGGAAGTAGGAATTGGTTGTGAGATGTTGGCTAAGAATTGAATTCTGGTAGTTTGATATTGAAATAAGTAATTGTATGGATGGGCATATATTTGAAGGAGGTTGAAACAAATTGCTCATGAAACATGGGATGCATTAAACTAAGGTGCAGATATTGGAAATATCAGTTGACCATGGCGGTGGGTAGCACGTGCAACTTATATACGTGTTTATCAATAGCAAACAGCCAATGACAGATAGTATAAAGGTTAATACCAGTGGAGTGGTGGCATGCGGTGCACCCACCTGGTTTATGGCATCACTGCCACCACTCACTGATACATGTACTGATTGATACCAACATTGCTCTTGAAAGCCACTGGAACGTGATGGAGTATTCCAACGTTTAGTACACATATTCACGCATCTGATGACTGGACCCTGAAGGGCAAAACAAAGAGGGTGGTGAAAACGCTAATGCACAGATTTGCATCAAGCTTTCTTCTATTCTTCGGCTGGTCACCGTGCAGTTACCTACCAATTGTTGTTTCAATAAAGTAGTATTTACTGTATGCAACATGAGCCGCTCCACGAAAGACAGATATTTCCCACCGTTCTCTAAGCATTTCCCAATCTCAGCACAACCTCGGCCATCTCGTCGTCCGTGTAGATTCTGAAACCCTTCTCCTTGGTGACGGAGGCCAGCTGGACATTCTTGGAGTCGAGCTTCTCCTCCATCACCTGCTTCAGAGTCTTGAGGACCATTGTCTCGGCTTCCTCAAGTGTCAATGACTACAAATTCTTGTCAGCTACCATAATTTCCACAAACTTGGCGAAGGTTAATGATTACCTTATGGTATTCGTTCTGAAGCTCAGCTTGGGCACCCTCGCTACCCGAGCCAATGGCCTTCGCATCATACCTATAAAAGGTACCTGACGGCTCGGCATGATACCTTATCTCCCCCACACCCATTAGTCCTACCCCACAACCCCACAGAAGCCAAACAAGCGAAACTTACAGCTGTGGGCCATCTTCATCGTATCCCGCGATCAACAACGCAACACCGAAGGGTCTTGACATGATACTCTCCTCGCCGTCTGCGCCCTCTCCAAACCTGAGTGCCAGATCACAGATGGCCTGCGTACAGCTCTCGACACGTAGGGGCTCGTTGTAGTGGAAAAAGTGGTTCTGTGACTCGACACGGGCATGCTCGATCATGGATCGGGCGTCGGCTTGCAGCCCGGACATGGCGCAGCCGATGTGTCGGTCGATCTCGACAATCTTCTCGACGGACGAGGCCTCGAGCAGCGGCGATGTTACTCGCTTCTCCACACCGATTATTACACCATATCCAGTGGCTACCTGTGGTTCCGGAGGCGGCGGTGATTAGTATAGGTGTAGTTGCAGGTAGTGATTTGTGGGGGGGGGGGGGGGGTTATGTACCCCGATAGCGGTAGAGCCGAGCTTGATTGCTTCAAGGGAGTATTCGACCTGGAAAAGACGTCCTTCTGGGGAGAAGGTGCTGTGTATCCGTCAGTTAAATTGCAGTGCAAGATGGAGATATGCTCGGTTGATTACGAACTTGATACCGCGATCTAGTAGTGATGGTTAGTTAGCATTTCATTGCCGGGGATGAATCAAGCAAAGCGCCGGGGCGGGTGAAACAAACCGTATTCTGACCGTGCAATAAACATTTTGGCAGTATTGATGCAGATGGAGATGGATAGGGTGGGGTGTCGATGGGGGGAGATTAGCAAATGGAGGGGGTGAAGAGCTGTTGGTGGAGCTGTTTGTCAAGGTTCACGAGTAAGGGCGACGCGGGCATCAACGAGGCGGGCTGCCCAGACAAGTCAGTAGGAGGGGCAGAACTGCCTAATGCGGTGAGGATTATCCGTAACGGGTGTAAATCTTGGCATTGATACTGGTCTGTGCTGAGTCATCAAAGTAGGTATCAGAATTGACCCCTCCATTTGCTGTGGGATTCTGTCCAAAACTGTTTTTTCTTTGAATCTTGCATAGAAGGAATGAGCACAAGTGCATGAGCGATTGAGAGTGTAAAACTCTTCACAATTATCAGGCATCACTTCCTATTTTAAAGACTCTGGCCACATTGTTCTTAGCGTCAAACTAAACTGGTAAAGCTGGCGAGTGACAGTCTATGATTGCGTGTAGGCACACAATCTTTTATTGGGATTGATAACATCGCCCCATCAGATTGGACCTCGGGTTGGTTCTTGCTTTGGTATTGAGACCCATGATCTTTACGAATTCTTTATTTGCCCTGCAAACCAGAAAACACCTGACAGACTGAGGACAAACGAGTGGACAACAAATAACGGCATTCTCCTTATCTACTCTCAAAACTAACAACACTCCAGCTCCTCACCTGCTTCACCATCCAAACCCCAAGAGCTTCCATACCCACAAACATTGTTCCTCCATCTCCAGCCCTGTCGTCCCTGAGGCTCAAACACTAGCACCACGCGGGGCAGCTAATCGTTGTCACCGGCACGCAGGGGCACCCACCACCCACCACTAAATTCGCGTCTCCGTCACTCACCCCATCCCCCCCACCAACCCCCCTCCACACCACCACCACCACCACCACCATCACCACCACAATGACCTCCCGAAGCTTCACCGCCGCGCCTGACCCCAACCGCCGCACCAGCCGCGACCCCACCTCCCGCGTCCGCGCAGGAGGAGGGCGCGACCCAAACTCGCCGCCGCCCGCACGGCGGCCCGCAACGAGGGGCGTGGATAAGCGCACGACGGAGAGGATCCATATCACGGAGACGACGACGACGGGGCGGCGCGCAAAGTCGCCGGGGAGGGATACGTCGAGGACGAGCACGGGGATCTCGGTGGGGAGTGTGGGGAGTGGGAGGGGGACGCCGAATGGTAGGAGTACTTCTTTTGATTGTTGTGGGAGGGAGGTCTTTGGGGGGGGGGGGGGGGGGTGGGGGGAGGTAGAGGTTTTTTGGAGTCAGGGGGAGTTTTGGATCACGGCACTTGCTGCGGAAGCTATATGCCTGGAACTTGTTCAAAGAAACCTATGAGAGCCTCTACAATCTCACCTCCGACGAACCTCCAACGCTTTGATCATTGGCCTAGTTTGCTAACAACTTATTGACCTCAGTCCCATGGAACCCCGAAGCAAGCCTGATACCCCCAACCACCGCCCCTCTGGCCTCCCGAATCTCAATACCCCCTCTAGCCTCCTCAATGCCAGCTACAAAGCGCCCCCCACCCCTCGAATCAATGACCCTCGAGCTCCAAGAAGCCTCAATCCTCGAGGACCTCCTCTTCGTCTTTATGGCATGTTCTACACCCCCGTATCTACAATACATCACATACTAACCCCCTCCTAGGGCTACGAAGGCCAATACATCCGCTTCCGCGAAGACTACAACCCCCACCTCGAAAGCGCGCGCCTCGACGGCCCCCAATTCCGCATCCTCCCCGGCCTCGACCCCTCGCTCCGCGACCTCTCCACAACAATGCTCAAAATGGCGACGCACTACGGCGCCGTCGAGGCCTTCGTCGAGGTGCAGAGCCGCGAAGAGTTCGGCGCCGTCAACCACGCCCTCTGCGCGGCCATCCGAAAGCTCCTCCGCGACTATCTCGTCCTCGTTGCGCAGCTCGAGCACCAGTTCCAGACGAGCCCCAGCTTCACGCTACATATATTGCACCTGCACACGCTGCCGACGTGCCACATGATGTACCAGCTGTACTCGCTAGCACGGGAGATGCTGCGGCGCAACTTGATGCTGGAGGACGACATGGACGACTCGGTCGACGACTACGACGACGTCGAGAACATCCTCGAGAGCCTGCGCGAGGGCGGCGACATCGTTGGCACCAGCGGCGTCCCCGGCGTAAAGATATGCAAGGGTGGCTCGGTCCTGGGTCTGCTGACACACCGGCTCGCCAGCATGGCGGGTGACCCCGCGGCGCGGTCGCTCCTCAGCATGCTGCTGCGCGAGGCGTCGAGGCCGTATATGGCCATGCTGAACGAGTGGCTGCACCACGGCATGATCCGCGACCCGCACTCGGAGTTCCTGGTCAAGGAGCAGAAGAGTATCCGCCGGGAGCGCCTCGAGGAGGACTACACGGACGAGTACTGGGAGAAGCGGTACACGGTGCGCGACGGCGACGTGCCGCCGCAGCTGGAGGCCGTGAAGGAGAAGGTGCTCCTGGCGGGGAAGTATCTGAACGTCGTGCGGGAGTGCGGCGGCGTGGACGTCAGCAAGCAGGTGGCGGACGTGCCAAAGAGCTTTGACGACATCCGCTTCCTGGACAACGTCAACAGCGCCTATGCGCACGCCAACGAGTCGCTGCTGAACCTGCTGCTCACCACGCACGCCCTCCCGGCGCGGCTCCGCAGTCTGAAGCACTACTTCTTCCTCGACCGCTCGGACTTCTTCTCGTACTTCCTCGAGCTGGGCGCCACGGAGCTGCAGAAGCCCGCAAAGAAGGTCAACGTCGGCAAGCTGCAGTCCCTCCTCGACCTCACGCTGCGGCAGCCGGGCTCCATCGCCGCCTCAGACCCCTTCAAGGAGGACGTCAAGGTGCAGATGAACGAAGTGGGCCTCACAAAGTGGCTGATGCGCGTCGTCTCCGTGAGCGGCATCGACGAGGGCGTCACCACCTTCGAGGAAACACACAAGGCGCCCGCCGCCGCCTCCGCCGTCGACCAGATCATCGGCTTCAACGCCCTCGAGCTCGACTACAGCGTGCCGTTCCCGCTGTCGCTCGTCATCTCGCGCAAGACGGTGCTGCGCTACCAGCTGCTGTTCCGCTACCTGCTCAGTCTGCGCCATCTCGAGACGCTGCTGGGACAGGCGTGGCAGGACCACAATACGCAGTACACGTGGAAGCAGCGGTCGCGCTTCCCGCAGATTGAGATGTGGAAGCGCCGCGCGTGGACGCTGAGGGCGCGCATGCTGGTGTTTGTGCAGCAGCTCATGTATTTTTGTACTAGTGAGGTGGTGGAGCCGAATTGGAATGGGCTGATGAGGAGGTTGGGGGAGGTGCGGACGGTGGATGAGTTGATGCAGGATCATGTCGACTTTTTGGATACGTGCTTGAAGGAGTGCATGTTGACGAACTCGAAGCTGCTGAAGGTATGTTTCCCTCTTCTCTGTTTCCTCATGCTTCACTTCTGTCTTTGGAGCTCTAACTAACGGCGCCCCAGATCCACGCAAAGCTAATGATGACCTGCACCATGTTCGCCTCCTACACCTCGAGCCTCTCGAAGGCGCTCGTCGGCGCCGACCCATCCCTCGCCGGCCCGTCGGCGCGGCGGGGCAGCTTCGACGACGTGAAGCTGGACCCGGCGCGCCTCGACAAGCTCAGCGACAACCTGGCCAAGTATGAGGAGAACTTCTCGCGGCATCTGAAGATTTTGCTGGATGCGCTGAACTACTATGCGGCGACGGAGACGGTCGTGCTGCTGGGGTTGTGTGCGCGGTTGAGTACGGCGAGTAATGAGAAGGATCAGGGGGGCGGGCTGGTTATGACGGGGTGAGTGGAGTGCCCGGGGGGGGGGGGGGATGGGAGGTGGGGGAGGTGGTGTAATATTATTGCTATTTTTTAGCTTTTTTTTTCGTTTTCACTATTTTTTTTGTTTTAAGAGGAGTATGGCTTAAATAGGTGAATGAGGGAATTGGGGAATGGAACGGACGAATGAATGAATGAATTGCGAGCGCTTTTTCTTGTTTGGCACGGGATGCTGTTTCGAGGATCGAGGATCAATGATCAAGATGGTGGGTTTTTTCTTTTCGGTAATTGGCAGGAAGCGTTATTGCTAGAGCTTGACCAAGTAAATAGCTACAATACCAGCAACTGATACCCATTCTACCGTCATCATCGTACTCCTATTACTTCTACTGCTTCATCTCTCTCGCTCTCTCTCTCCGTTCGGCAGGTCGGCGGAGGCATCAGCAATGCTGCGGGTGGAATCGATCCTTACCTAATCGACGTCTATTCTATTCTAGGGAGACCTCGCTCCACTCAGCCGCGACGCCACGCATACACAGCAGTTCAGCTCCCGTCTCAGCCCCTCCTGAACATCGCCAGAGCTGTTCCCTTTAATTGCAGACATCCCCACTCCCCCAGACTGCCTCTCCTTCTCCTCTACATCTCCATCTACACCCATCCACAGCATCTGCATCTATACCCCCCTTTGCATCTACATCTACACCCAAAACCACAAGCACAATGGGCCTCTTCTCCAAAAAATCCAAAGACACCACCGGCACCGACGACGCCAACCGCGCCGCCCTCTTCGGCGGCCGCAAGGCCTCCCCCGCCCCCTCCGCGGCCCCCTCCACAACCAGCGGTAAACAAAACCCCTACGGCGCCCCCTCGCCGGCCCCCTCCTCCTCCTCCGGAGGCTACGGCGGCTACGGCGCCCCCCCACAGCAGCAGCAGCAGCAGCAGCAACCAGGCGGCTACGGGGGCTACGGCCGCTCCGATTCCACCAGCACCTTCGACTCCAACCGCGACCAGCTCTTTGGCGGCGCGCAGCAGCGCCAGCAGCAGCACCAGCCCCCACCATACGGCTCTGCCCCCGCCGGCGGCCCCTCCGCAAACGAGAAGGGCGCCTACGGCAGCAGCAGCTCCGGTGGCTACGGCGGCAGCTCCAGCAGCGGCGGCTACGGCAGCAGCAGCAGCTATGGCCAGACCACCGGCGGCGACAGCTACAACTCCGCCCGCCAGCTGACCGCCGAGGAAGAAGAAGAAGAGGACGTCAACGCCGTCAAGCAGCAGATCCGCTTCACGAAGCAGGAGTCTGTCGCGTCGACGCGCAACGCGCTCCGCGTGGCCGCGCAGGCCGAGGAGACGGGGCGCACCACGCTGGGCCGCCTCGGCGCGCAGGGCGAGCGGCTGCACAACACCGAGAAGAACCTCGACGTTGCGGCGAGCCACAACCGCATCGCCGAGCAGAAGGCGCGCGAGCTCAAGACGCTCAACGGGAGCATGTTTGCCGTGCACGTGTCCAACCCGTTCAACTCGACGAAGCGCGCGCAGGAGGAGGAGCGGCGCATCTTGGAGCGCCACCAGAGCGACCGCGAGGAGAGGGACAAGACGAGGCAGTTTGGGTTTGAGAGCCGCAACCATGTGGGCAAGGCGCTGGGAGGCAGTGGCGCGGGGGGGCCAGGGAAGATGCCGGGCAAGATGAGCCTGGCGGAGAGGAGCAAGTATCAGTTTGAGGGCGACGAGAGCGATGATGAGAAGGAGAGGGAGATTGAGAACAATCTGGACGCGCTGGGCTCCGTCACGGGACGCTTGAGGAATCTGGCGATGGCCACGAGCCAGGAGGTGGATAGGCAGAATGCGCAGATTGATAAGATCATAAAGAAGGTATATAAACATAGCTCCTTGCTCACTGGTTTGCTGGTACAGCTTGCTAACACAATAAACAGAGCGACCGCGTCGACGACCAGATCGCCGTCACCCACAACAGGATCAAGAACATCCACTAGACGGATGCCATAGACTCTATACCATGTGTCTCTTTTTTTGTCTCGTATCAATGATCTTGTAGACAACCTTTTCGCCTTCTAATTTCCTTGGCTGGTTTTTTTTTTTTTTACTTTTCTCTTCTGTTGGTATTTTTTCTCCTTTTCGCGGGTTGGAACCGGTACCTTGGGGGTCTTTGGGGGGGGGGGGGTGGTAAATGGTGGTTGTTAGTAGTAAATTCATAAAATATCACTCGGTTGGTAAAACATGACATTTCTATCTTCCTTACTGGGCAGCGAGTGAATTTTGTGAGCGAGTGAGTGAGTGAGTGAGTGACCATGATGAGCGAGTTTTGGGTGAGTGAGCGATCATGATGTGTGGGTGACCCAATCATAGTTCCCTGTCAAAGGTGCACTAAAGAAGGTAGAGCAAGTAGAACAGGTATGTATGTAGCCCAATAAACTCGCACATGCATTCTTTTGTCCTCTCTTGGTGCGTTCATTATTTTTAAACCCTAGCCTAGTCGTGCCCTGTAACTGAAGAAAGAAGAAAAGAAAATATATAAGAAAAAGAAAAGAAAAAAGTGGGAATAGAAAACGATGGGGAAAAAAAAGATAGAAAAAAAAAAACATTGCATCAATCATGATCAATCACAATCCCAGCCGCCTGCCATCGCCATCAAGATCTAATTTCAAAAAAAAAAAGAAAAGAGTAGAAAAAAGAGGAAGGTTAAAAAAATGTAGAAGATAAAAAACACGATATAGTTTTTTTCTTTTTGGCTTTTAGATTCTTGGCTACCCCCCCAAACCCGGCGGTTCATCCTCGATTGTCTCGAACTGCTACTTACCACAAACCATTATAATAATTTACATCCTAGCACGTGATTTCTGCGAATGCATGAACATAGTTTTGAAACCCTATGGTTACTGTTAGTAAGCAAAGAGCAGCAAAGGTAGATAGGAAGGAGGAATAACATACATTGCACAAAGTCATCATATCCGGGAACGGTGTATCTCTCAGCTGGAAAGCGGACGGGATAATCTTCACCGGCCAGCTCCCCACCGGCGACGCAGCACCGGCCTTGAACATGAGGAGGAAGTAACCGGGGTGCTTTGTGTCAAAGCAAAAGCCATATGTTGACCGCTTCGGGTTGGCTTCGCAGTACTTCTCCAGCCATTTCTCTGCGGGGTTGTTAGAATCAGGGAAGCACTAGGTAGGGGAGAATGGACATCAACATACCACAGTCAGCCTTGGTTCCTGATATGAACTTGCTGTTGTGTGTCAACTCGTCGACCTTTCGGGCCATGGCCTTGATGTGGTTGACGATCAGCTCGTCCAAATCACTATACGAGAACCTTCCACCGACCCTCAATGTCCTTCCGACAGTGAACTCATTCTCCTTGTCAAGCTCCAGCACATCGATGTGTTGGTAGATGTTATCGCTGACTTTCCACGTGACAGCAATGTGATCAGGACCGTTAGAGGAAGGTCGGATGACAGCGTCTCCTCGGCTCTGGCCTGCAAGGAACTCCTCGGCTTGTCTGCTATTGAATGGCTTGAAAAGTGGATGTTTGATGACCCTTGCGCTACGGGTCTGTTCCTGGTTGGTAACGGCTAGGCGGGCCTTGTCTCGTTCCTCTCGGGCATCGTCCCATTCCTCTTGAGGTACGTCCGGATTCTTGCGTTTTGGGTTCCGCACTTTGTCCTCCCGCAGTGAAAGCTCGGCGTAGAATGTCCTTGTGTTGATGTTCTCAATTCTGGCCTGGACTGTCTGTCCGATAGAGTACATGCTGCTGGGGGTAAAGTGTGATGTTCCATTGTGCATTTCATCGATAGAAACGTTGCCCTCGATCCCGCAGTCAAGACGAGCAGCAATAAATCTGTCTGTGACACGCCTAATATTGACGGGCACGACCATCCCTTCATCCAGAGTCTCCCGGGTTTCACCTGTAAGCATAGTAAAGATTTCTTCGGTGCTAAGCTTGTTAAACCTATTTCGGAGTTCCTCGTATGCGTGCTGAAGTTCGGCACGGATAGTTTCAAGCGTGGCACGCTTCTTCTGGTTGAAGTTACGCTCCAGTTCCTCCGCATAGTCTTCCAAACTCAACTCATTGACCTTGTCTTCCTGGCCGTTGATAAGTTCGTTGATAACAGCACCAGGGCCACCGTCAACTACCATAGCAGCGACATCCTCTTCATCAATGTCAAGAGCATCTGCGGCCATCTTTCGCCCTAAATCATAATCCTCAGGGTGGACTCGAGTATTGTCGAGGTAATCCGAGTTTCGGTCTGAGGGATCGTGAGGAATTATGAGGAAACTAGCACAATTCACAAACACCCTTGGACCAACGACCGTGCCCAGCCCTTTTTCATTGTCACCCAAAAGCTCAATACGGCTTGAAACTCTCCCTCCCTAAATATAATTAGCGACCTTAGTTCAACGATATTAGCATAAAGGAAGCTTACATTGGCTTGAATTGTTTTCAAAACACTGGTGGCCTTCCTAGGACCAAGACCACAGACATAGGGAACTAATGTTGCAACGTAAGGCTTACTTGCAGCTTCGTTAATATCAACTCCCACAAGGTTCACCATATCCACAATGGCAGAGTCTAATGATCTCTGCAATTTATCCTCGGGTAGAAGCTGCTGGGCAGTGTGAAACACAATTGACACAATATCTTTTCCCAATCCAGCATATTCCAACAAAGGATTTTGCACATATCTAGCCAACGCAACACAATAGCGGGCAAGCGGGGGAAGGTCGGGATGGTCCACCATAGCCCTCTCACTATTATGATATAAACGCGCAACCTCATCATTGACGTAGACCACCTCGATCGGGATTTTTTCATCCTCTTCTCCAGTAACCACGATTTCATTCTGCTCAACAAGCTGCCGGAGGTCCTCGACGAGCTTGTGTGTTTGAACGCTGAAGCCGCTTACACCTATAACATCTGGCTTCCTCCGCTGCAGAACGTCGACTAGCTCTTGTCGAGATTTCTCATCTTTAAGATCCGAGTATTTAACGCTTTCGAGGACTCGGCCGTCTTCGTCTCTGAAGATACCAACAAGAGCATCTCTACCCCGCTCTCCCTGACCGTTTGAAAGGGCGAAAACCCGCGGGATCTCGCCCAATTTCAGAGCTTTAGGTTTGTAGGGTGCTTGGTCGAGTTTCTGATATCAAATAGTAAGTAAAGTCTCTAAATGCAAAATGAAGAAAAAAGTTTACCTTTGAATAATTCCTACGACACTCAGATGCCACAGCGTCCTCACAGGCAGTTCTCAATTCATCCTTCACGTTCTTTTGGAACATGACTCTGAACTTTGCCATCGCGAGATCAACGACGTCTTTGCGCTCTTTGTTCCAGGCATCAGCAATATCACTAACATTTTCAGACGTGATATAATCGTAAAGCCTGCGAGTGTAACCCTCCTCATTCTGCAGCTCGATATTGATCTCTACCAACCCATCACTTTCAGCCTTCATCATACGGAGATACATTCCTGGCTGCGCTGCGATGGCCTGCATTGTCTGATTGCGAAGGTATTTGAATTCCTATTTTGTATCAGTTTCAAGCTCATACTAGTAACGATATAACAAACACGGGGAGATTACATACGTAGTATTGATGTTGCTCGTCAATCTTCTTTACACCCTTTTCTGTAACGTTGACATGTATCAAACTCCTTGTGAACCACCTCTCCCTCAATGCCTTTCTTAAGCTTGGATTGGTGAACATCTCCTCCGCAAGCATAAACTTTGCGGCCTGTAGCGCCGACTCGCCAGATGCAAATTCTGGAATTTCGATGTACTCGTCTGACATGGTATGCGGATAGTCCAATGGATCCTCTGCAAACTCACGCTTCTGGTCCAATTGCACATTGACTGAAAACTGTGATGCGGATATACCAAAGGCCCTAACTAGTCCGTAGACTTTACCGTTGCGAATTCGTTCAAACATCGTCTTGGCATTTCCGGGTCTTCGGAAATGACTTCCACGACCTTCTACACCGTTTAAAGCGATGTCTTTGAGCTGTGAATGATAGCGGAAATGTATATAATCGTGCATGTCCTGGAGTTGATCGCTTGTTTCGGCGTATCTTATACCTTCTTCAGCCTCTCTATCCTCGACGTTGGCGTGATGCTTAAGCTGGTCATAGGTGCGCATGAAAGCCTGACGTTTGTCAAAATAAGCCCGGAACTTAAGATCGAGCTCAAGGATCTCCCAAAGATCATCCTGAGATATAAGCCTTTCGGCTACAATCTCATACTGTGCTTCATTATCATTATACTGGCGTTTGGGTACTTTCTCTGCGTGGATTAAGTAGTCTTTCCGGTGCTGAAAGACAAAAGGGACCTCCATATCTTCAAGAATAAAGAACTCTAGGATTTTCTTGATAGCCTTCACCAATGCCTCCACAAGATGTGATGTTAGCCTCTTCTTAGGAATCAAGAACTTTGAAATCCAATCTCCTTCCTCGTCAATTTCATCACGACCAATCCGAAGATGGGTGTATGGCTTGCGGGCGATCTGGTATCTTTCTGGTACATCATTCAAACGTATCTCATTGTCTTCATCCGTAAGCATACGTTCGGCCAATTCGCTAGGCTCAAAGACGTCCTTCAGCTCCAAATCCTTCACTTTATCCTCGCCCTCTTCCTCCTGGTCCTCCTCGGTGATAAGTGCAAAGTCGTACTCGTCTCCTCGTCCAAATATATCCTGCATATCTGATATTGCGCCTTCGCGGAGGTTCAGGTGCTCGGGTGCATAGCTGACTCTGCCTCGATCCCCACCCCTACTCCTTTGTCCGGCCATCTGCATGTCATCGTCACTTCCTCCCTGACGTCCCTCGTCTCCGGAGTCTTCCTCGATGAAATCCGCGAATTCGTCAACGAGTCCACGAGCATCCCCCCGATCGCCTCCGCGAGCACGCATGTTACTGAGGCCTTCATCATCGTCATCGGGTTCCCCAGGGGCATCGAGGTCTTCCTCATCAGAGAAAATATCGTTGAGATCGC